GCATTGCAGGTCATCTTTGTTCATATTGATTCAAGGCTTGACTATCTTCAAGCTGATCCTACAAGGATCACCTTCAGTTATCCTTAGATAACAGGTCGGTTTCCGACTCAACTCTAATCCACTCTTGCCACTCAACCTAAAGTCTTTAGCCCTGTGGTTTGATTTGTTTTGCTGTGTTTTTACCCGGACTTTAATTGAATGGCCATTTAATAAAGATGCTGAGTATTTTATGTTGAGAGTTGCACAAAAAGTGAGGCTTGTATGGCTAAAGCGAGGGGTGTGAGCGCAAAGAATGGTTGAAGTTGACCCCGTGTAGTGCATGGACTTTTGGTTGAATCTTTGATGTGATTGCATGTATGTTTGGTGATTCGGATTCTGGATTTGACTGCCTACGATCACTTAAGTATATATGGCTGAGAGGAGTCCCACTGTGATTGTGAGATGTGATCGTCACATATTTATAACCTTCTATATATATGTACATACATACGCGTTGGATGTTCGCGCGACCTATTGTGACCATGTGCAAGGGTTAAACAAATTATACTTTGAGAGAAAAGGGAGATTCTCTTTTAACTTTTGCTTTTTAGGATTAGTATGGTTGGACGTTGTAGTCCGTGGCAACCGTCAAAGTCAAACCCCTTGACTTTTTCTTTAGACCCTTGATGATGGAGCTTGTCTCCAAGGCCATGAGAGTTGACTGTCACCACAGGTTTGCACAAGTTTGAACCTGTGCGCCACCCACTCTCCACAGGGTGCAGAAGAGAGTGTGGAGACCAATCGTCGTGGCGGTTGTTTATCATCGAGAGATTAACCCCTCAAGGCGCATGTCAGCCGACACTTGAGTGTCAAACGTGACTCTCGAGACCATCTAGGGTCGCGTGATTATGGGTACTACATAGTACTCCATCGTTGCGAATGCTCGTATATGCACGCATGGTTGGTCAATATGAGAAGGACATGCGTCCGCCCAACTTTTTATATTAAGTTCAGCGCGCGATGCCTATCTGACTCTCGCTTTAGAAGGTTATGGGTCGGATACTGAACGGACTAGGAGTGTTGTTGTGTTATTTGTTTTGTGTCCTTTCATGTGTGTAAACGTTGTGGTGTAATGCGTGATGAGTGGATTGCGTCCTAGTCGACCGACGATGAATCGTGTTTGGGACCTCAGCCCCTCATTGCGTCGATTCACGTGCGGGTTCGATTTTGGGCGTTGACCGCGCGTACCCCCTATGCTACAGCGAATGAGAAACGCCATCGGCTGGGCCACCTCTGCAATTGCATACGAAAAGCCTTCTCATGTGGTTCAGTAGCTCGGCGGGGATACGCCCACCTAAGGGATGGTGACAACTCCCACAGGTGGAGGTAACGGTGCCTCGTGTGACCCTTTCCTGTCATAGGGGCTCGTGAGAGGTACGGCTGACGCACTCGGCCGGAGCGGCAAACGCTCTCCGCGACAAGTCCTGCCAAATCCTACGTGCGGTCGGGAGGGTCCCCGTGCGGGACTGATGCGCTCGACAGCGTGACGTGGCAGAAGCGCGATGACAACGAAAATAACGGAATTGACATTTCGTTAAAATTAATATTTTTTACTATTTTTGTGAAATTGAGGTCGTTGTTTTCTTCCAAAAAAAATGTTCTTTCGTCATAGCGCAGCATCTTTTATCGTATAGTGTTATGCTGGACATATGCAATTTTGTTGTCAAATTGATGGTTTTTTTTTTTTTTTTTTTTTTTTTTTT